TCCAGAAAATGCGATTCGGTGGATTGACACCTACAGGAGCGACATTTGGCTTGGCAATGGAGGTAACATGTTTAGTTGATAATTGGTATTGAAATTTGGGTAATTTGGTAACATTTTTCTATTCTTGTTTGGTATACATATTTAGAAATATTTTGTGCCATTTATATCTCCAGGAAGATATTACTAACTTATTTGATTATTACCATGTTTTAAATTATTATTACGGATAGTTAAGATACTATTCTAAAACTTATTACCATATTTTAAAACATATTATTGACAAATTGTGTTTGTTTTTGGGAACCACAACTGTTAGTTAGCCAGGCCTGTCTTATTGCATATATTCTTCAGGCCGTACACGCATCTGGTTTAGAAGTGTTGGTCTCTGTTTGTATTGTTCTAGAGATTCAGTGCTCTGATTTTTCCCTGCCTATATTAATATTAACCTTATGTCAAGTTATTTATCTTCCTCATATACCTGTCCTTTATCTCATATCTTCATTTGTCCAATCTGTTCCACTCTCAAGGAAATAATATGGTATCACATTTAAGAAAATTTTAGTGTTTTTTCTTTGTTGAATCTGTCATTTGTTTTGCCATATTGTTATTCTTACCGGGGCTGCTTTCTGAAAGGTTATGCTTAAATCCAAGAAGTATGAGTTTGTCCAGAAGTTCTTTGAAAAGATGCAGAGAAAAGGGGTGCCTCCAAGAGCGATAACTTATAAAGGTAGCATTGCAGTAAGCTTCATCTGGTGTATTGCGTTCATACATTGTAGTTATTCATTGGATATGTTATTTGACATTTCAGTTATGTAGTTGACCTTCAAATATTTGCACTCAGTGTTAGTAAGAGCCTTCTGGGAACAAGGGAAAGTAAATGAAGCAGTTGAAGCAGTTAAAGACATGGAACAAAGAGGAGTCGTTGGAGCTGCAAGTGTGTACTATGAATTAGCTTGCTGTCTTTGCAATAAAGGAAGGTGGAAAGATGCTATGTTACAGGTTTGTGATTGATCATGTATGCATTTATATCTGCAATTATACTGCTTTCTTCTTTTTGGTGTAACTAGTCAAATAGTGTTGCCTTTTGAGGTTTGTGCTAGCTATATGATTTGATTTCTTCATCGAGATTTGTTTAGAAAAACAGCTCAGGAACCATGCCATATGAATGTGATAGCTTTCTTGGGCTGGCAAAAAAGCTGAAGAAAAAAGATGCTCTGATCTTTGATGTGTGTATGATCATCTGAGAATAGCTAATCTGGTTGTTACTCGAGAAGCCACGAGGTATGAATTTATGCCCGCTAGGGGTTGTCGCCACCTCAAGCTGCACTTATCTGCTGAAAGTTGAGTTCTGGCATGCAAAATCTCAAATGCTACTAACACCAATGATGGTGTTTAGCTTTTGAAGTCTTATGTGGTAATGCCTCATTGCTTCAGCACAACATTTTCAGGATTATTTAAGGTGCTGTCTTTCTCAGTTTGTTTCAAGTTTTAAATTAGTCTCTTGCTCCCGCTGTTCACAAAGACGCGTTGTTTTAGAATTTGAGTCGTCAAACTTCCTTAACTTTGACTGGTAGTTTGTACCGAACTACCTAAATTGATTATATTTAGTATTGTACCAATATATTTTTATGTAAAGCAAGTCCAAGAATATATATTTCTACTTTAGTAAATAGATACTACGAATATTCTTGGTCAAAGTTGTTTATGGGATACCATGTCTTGTCCAACGCGTCATATATTCTACAACAGAGAGCACAGAGGATACGTCTTTCCTCTTCTATTGCAGGTTTTGTTTTGTATCTCCACTCTGGCTCCATTTTCTTCACGGAGTCAAATTAAGTAATCTTACCTTCGCAAAACACTGGCATTACTGTTTTGATTCCTTATTGCACAAGTAATATCTCCATGTGGGGGACTTGGAGAGTAAAGAAAAGAAATGCATGCAATATATTCTTATGATAAATTTTCTCTGTTTCAGGTTGAGAAGATGGAACAGCTTCGCCTGACTAAACCACTGGAGTTCGCATTTACTGGCATGATCCTAGCCTCTTTTGATGGTGGATATATCTCCGAGTGTATCTCGATATTTGAGTCAATGAAGGACTACTGTACTCCAAATATTGGGACAATAAATGTCATGCTAAAAGTTTATGGACGCTGCGATATGTTTGGGAAGGCAAAAGACTTGTTTGAGACCACCACATATAGTGTTTGTAGTTCTCAGCCACATATCCGTGACCATTCATCACTTAAAGCAGACATGTATACATACAGCTCTATGCTTGAAGCATCTGCATCCGCTCAACAGTGGGAATATTTCGAAAATGTATACAGACAGATGACACTTTCTCAACACCATCTAGATCAAAGCAAAAATTCATGGTTACTCATCAAGGCATCCAGAGCTGGAAAGGTGTGTTTATTATCTACTACCCCATAACCTTTTCTGAGATATATGACTTCGCGTTTCGATTCTAACACAGTACTAGCTCAGATCCATGTTTGAATAATATGTTCAAGATATCGATGCAAATATGGCGTTTTACATCCTACTCCCTCCGTCCGAAAATACTTGTCGGAGAAATTGATAAAAATGGATGTATCCAGAACTAAAATACGTCTAGATACATCCATTTCTCCGACGAGTATTTCCGGACGGAGGGAGTATTTAGCAAATAGAAGTAAAGTTGTGTTCATCATGGAGTTAACATTTGTTTGCTACACCCCTGTTTGTGTGACAGTTTGTACTCTCCAGAAGAAATGTGGCACCTGAAACTCCACCTTATAATGATCGTCATTGTCATCATCATCCAAGTTGTTTTTATTTCTTTCATATCCAAATTTATTTTCAATTTGCACCGGCAGATCTTCTTCAAGTTTGTCCTTTTTTGTGCATCTGACCTCAAGAGAGGGCATTCCAAATACCTTTAGCCTGCTAGGAATTGCAGTGGAGTGTGCTTGCACAGAAGGTGACCAAGTGCAGAATTGTTTACTCATCGTGCTTTTGTTTTGCAGCCCTATTTGGTGGAGCATGCACTTGATTCAATACTTGAAAGAGGAGAAATCCCTGACGTAGAGCTGTTCGCTGAAAATATTTGCCAAACTATTGCTGAAAGCGACCATGGAAGGACACTGCATCTCATGAATACTATGTCTGCGGCTTCAGTCGAGATGAATGAACAGCAATGGAGTGATCTACTTCAGCAAAATTCACATCGATTCAGGGTGGATGCGTTGAAAGACCTTATAACGCACCTCAGTACTAGTGATGCCATCAAAACAGATCCCGGACTCGGTTTTGTAAGAGCATTGCAGTCCCAATGTGCGACAATGTTGGCGAAGGACGCTCAAGAGCCTCAAGCAGATAATTGTTCACATAGCAATCTGATGGAACAGGATGAGCTCTCTTGCAAGGACTCATTGGGTAGTCATGAATTCTCTGATTCCAGTACTGATAGCCCTGTATCAGGTGTCAAAGATGGCTTGGGTGGGGACATTGTACTTCGTGGTCCGCATTCAGAAGACGAACATCGTAATCTTGCACATTGGGGCACACAAGTATCTGCGATCGACAAAGTACTTGATTCCATGAACTCATTTGGTACCTGTAGTTCATATGAAAAGATGCCGACAGCATCAGAAATTCTCGAATCATGGGAGCAGGAGTGTGTTGAGGACATATTTGTTCCGAAGAGGAAGCAGAGCAACTATGAGAGGATAAATGAATGAAGCACTTGAGTATGTTGTTTGATGTTATTAGTGTAAAATTCTCACATCAATTAGAACTGGCCTGGTTAATGCGGAAATTATGGAGCCCCACAGGCTTTGGCTGCTTCTGGTTGTTGTGATCCCACCAGAGTTATGTAGAAGAGTAAACCAACCTGTGAGTATTTAGTTGCACACATGTTCTTGTTTTGCACAAACTATTTACGGAGATGTTGATAAGTGCTGCTCCGGGGTGGTAGTTTAGGGACAAACCCGTGTAGTATTAACTTCATTTGTAAGAAATGGATCTGTACCATTGGATCGAGAAGGATACTGAGGTCTGAGGCACATGTTCTTTTCTTTTCTTTTTTGCGGGTGAGAGGCACATGTTCTTTAGTAGGAACTATAATAGAACTCTGTTTTTTTTTGCGAAACAAATCACATCAATTTGTAAACCACTGATTGTGGGTTTTCAACATTGATAGTGGGTGTCGCAATGAAATACGAGTGTATAGCCGCACACATTTTGGAGTTATTCGGTTCCATTAAACCTCCTTCTGTGTTTTTTTTTACATATGTTTTTTTATAGATTTTCCCCACTTTTGAGTAGAATAGAGATTGGGAAAACTACACGGGGAAAACCGCAGATGGGCCGTGTTGACGGGCCTGTATAGCTCGCTCAAGAGGTGCCGGCCTTTAGTGGGCTACAGAAATACTACAAGTGCCATAAATAGCCCAACAGGTCCCGCCATTCACGCGTAGGTGCATCGGCAAAACCCTCGTTTAGCCGTCGCCCTGGCCCCTACTGATCTCCTCGGCGGCAACCGGCAGCGGCGGGCACCAAAGGCGACGGCGCGACGCTGTGAATGTGAGCCACTTCATCGATCTCCTTCCCCACTACCTTCTGCTTTCTTCCGATTCCATTTCCATGTCATCGTATACGCACTCGCCAGGCGACGATTGAAATCTGCCCTACCTGATTCGGTCTGCTGCGTGATTTGTTTTGCATGACTAACTCGATCCTTAGCTATGTGAATTCTGTTTCCAAACTCGTTTTAACGAATTTTTATTATCGGAATCGCATCACAAACAAAAACGTAAAGTAGATCCGGTCTCAACCAATTCTTTTTTCAGTCGTTACTTAAAAAATTAGATTACACTTCGGGACCGAAGCTCATGTTTCGAACAATCTCTATGTAATGTTGTATTCGTTGTCCTTGTCGAGGCGTCGTCCTGACTCCAATTGCCAATACGCCGCAGCGGCGAGCGACAACGGACACGTTGTGACTAGTGACATGGAAGACTTCCTCTTCAGCGGGGAGGCGCCGCCGGCTGCTAGCTCGGTAAGACTGTGTCATGCACGCCTGAAAAAACAAAATGATATATGGACAGTAGTTAGTAATATAGTGAGTTAGTGTTTTGCTAATACATGCATGCTGGC